TCTCTCTCTCTCTCTCTCTCTCTCTCTCTCTCTCTTTGTTCTTTCTTTTTCTTTTTTCTTTGATTTATCTAAAGTTTAAAAAATTTTTAATTTTAATCTAAATTATCCAACTCAATCCATTATTCTCATCCTTTTCATTTCTTTAAAACATTAAACCATCTGTCACATTTAATTTTTGCTACATATTTTCATAAAAATCTTTAGTCCTTACAAAATCAATTTATCTTTGATACAAAAAATAATGGAATACAGAAGTAAAAATTCTGTTTTTCATTATAAAATTTTACAAAACAACTTTTGATTGTTTTTAGGGTAGGACTTAAATATTTATTTAAAAATAATTCATTAAATTCGTACCCAAATTAAAGAATTTTTCAAAAAAATAGTGGAAAAAACAATAAATGTGTCATTTAGAATTTGATTCGATTAAATATTACATTTTTTTTTTCATTTTATAGATTATTGAATTATTAAATTTTAAAATTAGCTTATCTTTACAAAAATTTTTCATTTCTTATTTTTGCACGCCCGATTTTTTAATTTGCAAAGATAGAAAGAATAATAAGTGCAAACAGAAGATAGTACATACTGATAACAATTACTAAATGATATTGATTTAAAGTTTATACAAACATTAACTAAGAAGCGATTCTTTTTTCACTCTCTGGCTTGACTTGCTTAATTGCATGCAAAAAAAAAAAAACAAAAAAATTTTTTGAAAATTCTAAAGAATTGGACATGTTCTTTTTTTTTTTTGTTTTCGTCTTTGTTTTTTTTTCTCCTTTTTGACAATTTTTATGGCTCATCCTATAATCTTTAAATTGACATTCAAAATTACTCCGCGGGATTAAAGCTAACAATCAACATACTTCAAAATAGGAGCACCAACAAATAATGATTGATCGATATTACCAGGAGATTAAAATGATAAAAATGTGCAAGTTTTGAAAAAAAAACGCTGGTGAATACATATATTTTTTATTATATATATTAAAAAAAGTTGATTTATAACATATATGTATGTTATAAAAAAAATCACTGCTTTTTAATTTAACATAGTTTATTTTTAATTTTGAAATAATGAGATATTTTGGGGAATTATTACTTTGAATTTGCATGCTTTTGTTTAGCAAACAAAAAAAGAAATGTAGCAGTAGGACTTTTGATATATAACAAATTTAGAGTATAAAAATCATGATATCAAAAGCAGATAACAATTCTGTTGCTGAATTTGATTTAAGCCATATTTTAATTCATTTGCAAAAAGCATATATGAGGTTTTAACTCATATATGCTTTTTGTTAAAAA